ATAGAAAAGGTCTTGGAATTAACTTGCTTACTAAATCTCATCTTCTAAAGAAGTAAAAGGGTAAAAAGTTAAAAAAAAATCCATGCAGCTACTTTTTGCCTAGAGAGAGGGGCAAAATGCGTCCTCACTGGAAGAAAGAAAAGGTAGAAGAGACAATGGTGGAAACCACATGGGCAATAAAAGAGGAAGCCCCCGCACAGAATTCCATTCTTATATCATACAGGGGCAGAGGAGACAGTGGCTAACATGAGGAGTAAAGACAAAGCCTGTTCTGGGAAAAACATGCATAGGAATGTGGGGGAGGAATACCTCAGCCTAATCCTATCTCTAGTCCATCTATTTATTGAGGTCTGGAAGCTTGATGACACAAGAGACTTGTGTAGTCCAGGGATGAAACTCAACAGTAAGGTCAATTTGTGCCTTTGTTGACTTATTGCTCACTGTTCTGCTCCTATGGCAATCCATGTGGATTACAGCCAAAAACTGCACTGCCTCCTCTGTACCTTGAAGATCAGTGCTCTCCCTGGCACGGAAACTCAAGTGGATTCACAGTCAGCATGGCCACTACTCAGCTGCGACCAAGAGGTCACTCAATAGCCCCCCTGTGCTTCGCTAGGCTAACCATTGCCATCCTCCAATAGGACTGTGACTGGAGTCTGACCCACTTGAGCCGGCTGAGAAGGATTTGGTGGAGGACTTACTTACTTACTTACTTACTTAGGCGATCCCTTGTTGTCCGAGTAGGATAGTCTTCCAGGATCAGAGTACTGGTGGTGGCTCCGTAGGTGACTGTGGAGCTCTATTCTTGATCCCCATGTTCTCCCACAATGAGGGCATCGGTTTCCAGACGGAAGGCGGTCCCGGTCGGGGTTGGCTTGCTGTGCCTTCCTCTTGGCACGTTTCTCTCTTTCACCCTCCATTCATTCCTCTTCAAATTCTACAGCACTGCTGGTCACAGCTGACCTCCAGCCAGAGCACTCAAGGGCCAGGGCTTCCCATTTCTCGGTGTTTATGCCACAGTTTTTGAGGTTGGCTTTGAGCCCCTCTTTAAACCTCTTTTCCTGTCCTCCAACATTACGTTTTCCGTTCTTGAGCTCAGAGTACAGCGACTGCTTTGGGAGATAGTGATCAGGCATTCGGACAATGTGGCCAGTCCAGTGGAGTTGATGGCAGAGGACCATCGCTTCAATGCTGGTGGTCTTTGCTTCTTCTTCCAGTACGCTGACATTTGTCCGCCTGTGTTCCCAAGAGCTTTGCAGGATTTTTTTGGAGGCAACGCTGATGGAATCGTTCCAGGAGTTGCATATGACATCTCTAGATAGTTCACGTTTCACAGGTATTGGGAGGACAATAGCTTTGTAAACAAGCCCCTTGGTCTCCCTATGGATGTCCCAGTCCTCAAACACTCTGTGCTTCATTCGGAAGAATGCTGCACTCGCAGAGCTCAGGTGGTGTTGTATTTCAGTGTCAATGCTGACTTTTGTGGAGAGGTGGCTGCCAAGGTAGTGGAAATGGTCAATCTTTTCTAATGTTACACTATTAAACTGGCGTTGGAGAGGGATTGGCTGGTGACTGCTGGAAAAGCACTTAGGTTTTCTCAATGTTCAATGGCAGGCTGACCTCGTATGCTTCTGTGAAGGTGTTTAGGGTGGCTTGTGGGGTCTTCTTCTGAATGCGCACATAAGACGTTGTCATCAGCATACTGGAGTTCTAGAACAGATGTTGTTGTAAGCTTGGTTTTAGCTTTCAGTTTGCTGAGGTTAAATAGCTTGCCGTCTGTCTGATGGAGAATTTCCACTCTGGTGAAAAGCTTCCCGTCAACAAGATGAAGTATCATAGCAACGAAGATAGAAAATAAGGTTGGGGCAATAACACAAAAGAATCAGTGATCTATGGCAAAAAAGTCACATAAAACTATCCCTAACTAAGGCCACCACAAGACTTCCCTCCAATTAAAACGTTGGTAACAAAAAGTCAAAATGCACAAACGTTTCCACAAGAATGTCCTCCAGCAAAGTGTTCTTGTGCTTCTGAGCAGGATTGAGGCCGGGTTAAGGTAGCAGTGCTTCCCTGCAAAAGCCAGTATTGCCACCATGTTTGTACCTGTTTTGCAGGTTTGGTGAACTCCAGATGCCCTCAGGGACCTGGATGGTGGTTCTGGGGTGGACATTGCTATTACATCGAGGAGCACGGCAGTAAGAATTGGCAAGACGGCTCTTCGTGTTTCCCCTTTCTAATGCACAGTTTTGTCTAATTTCCGAGATTGTCTATCTTCGTTGCTGTGGGCTTTATCTTGTGGCTTGGAAAGTGCATTGGGGGGGGGTGGGGGAGTTGGTGTTGTGTCTGTGTGTCCTTTCCCCCTGTTGCTCCTACGGTTGGCTATGTTTTACCACAAGGCTTCTCTCCCTGAACTTTTTACACTACACGTTCATATTGTCTGAGCCATCTCGTCAGCGAGGTTGTTTCTTTGTGTTTGCAGAACTGTGACTTATAATGAGTCACTTCTTGGTGTAGAGCTCTATGTCAACACTTCCAGTTTCAGCAGGCGCGTCACTAAATTGTTGATTATCTTGGCCGTAGTGATTGGGGGCGGAGATGGGGGGTGGCAGAAACATCAGTGTTCCCGAACCACTTTTCTGTGCAACCTCCGCTTCTTCGTGGCTTATTGGTGCTCTAATATTTTCTCAAAAGTGGACGGGTTAATTCCTCTTACAAATGGTGTCCGCAATAACAGGTCCTATAAGAGTCGGTGCTATTTCCAAATAGCGATGTAAGGTCGTTATTCAGCTTACCATACCCTCTAAATGCATTGTTTGTGACACGTTTATACTATGTTGTCGATCACGGACCGCTCTGAAAAGGGCGTGCAAAGACATATAGTTCTCGCAACTAACATACAGTGGACAAAATAAACGCGCTTTTTTATTGGATGGATCACGTAATGACAGAGCGTGTTCCTTTCTGACTGTTTTGTGGAGTATCTTCCCATGCCCTGCCCCGCCCCCCTCTTGGCTCGTGTCGCGTGGATGTGCGTTGGCGTGTGTCAGCTACAGCCTGGGGATGGATAGCGCTTGTGGTATCCGCCGCCCTGAAAATTGGCGCGTCTGCTAATTTGCCGACCTATGCTGTTATGGGTTTTCACTTAGTGGACCTATCTCTGGTTGCCCTTCTGCTAATTGCCTGGACGAAATCCATCATGTAGTATGGAGGGGAGAGGTGCGTGGTTTCATCAGGGGGACAATCGAATTTGTGTGCCAATCTTTCTTCGAGTGGAATATGGACGCATTTTAGATCGCCCTAAGGTTGCCTGATGGCTCAGCAGTGTTGATTGTCTGGCAGGCCTGCCATAATCCGTATTTTTCCAGTGCTGAGACACAGAAACAATGAGGGAATCTTGGCTGTGGTTTCAGTGGATAAAAGTTGAATCAGTAACAAATTAGGATAAAGTGTAGCTTTCTGAAGGCTTCCTTTGTCCTGATATGATCATAAATGCCAAGCAACCACTTGCTCTGGGGGGCCAACTCCGAGACCAGAGGTCACGGTCCTTTGTTATTGTCCATGCAAAAAGTGTCTTTTGATAAAGGTCTTTTCAACTGGAGATTTCCTTCTCTCCAGGGTCACACAGGGTTGCTGCCTTGTATTTTTATACATTTTTTTCAATAAAGAGGAATTGGGCAAAAGGGTCAGGAAAAGGTCAGATACACAGGGAGGAATATAGAAATATAGAAATCATGTTATAGAAAATATACCCACTTATCCCTCCCACCAGAGTCCCATAGAAGTTCAAGAGAGCACATAAGTGTAAAGGGAGGTGGTTTCTCAGTAATAAATGTGCTACCTTCTGCTATATATGAAACCTAGGGCATAAAACCTTGATTAAATGTACACACTATCTAACATGGGAAGGGTCCTTGTTGTTGTTAGTGTCTTGGCAAATTGACCAAGGCTTAACCCTTATTATCCAGTCTGGTGTCCTTGTCCTTAGCAAAACTATAAGTTACTATCTTTTATGGGGGGGGGGGGTTCATGTTTGACTTCATATATATCCATTAATATATACATCAATTTATAATATTATAATGTAATGCAATATACTACTACTAATAATAATAATAATAATATGATATTATAATTATATATTTATATTACATGTAATATTACTATAAATATTACAATATAATGGTATAGTACAATATAGTAATATATAATACTGATATTGTACTGTTTTAATAATATTGCATGTATATAAATCTTGTACAGTGCTCTGAGTCCTCTTCGGGGTGAGAAGGGCGGCATATAAATGTGATAAGAAATAAATAAATAATATTCTGGATTATATTGCAGTGTAGAAGGGCCCTAAGATTCTACACTGCCATATAATCCAGTTCAAAGCAGATAATCTGGATTTTATATGACACTAGCTGTCCCCTGCCACGCGTTGCTGTGGCTCAGTCTATGTATATGTGTTTTGTGTGTGTATATATTTGTGTATATATGTGTTTGTGTGTATATGGTTTTGTGCATGCATTGTATTGGTTTTCTTTTTGGCTTTTTAAGTCTTTTCTGCTGTGTTTTTCAGTGTTTTTATGACTGATGGTTACTCGTTGGCCTGATAGGTGTATTGTGTTCAAATTTGGTGTCAATTCGTCCAGTGGTTTTTGAGTTCTGTTATTCCCACAAACGAACATTACATTTTTATTTATATAGATTGTAGATTGGGCCTTCTTCTCCTCTTTGCTTCTTTGCCCCCAGATTTGGGTGAGTGAGACCTGCACAGCCCTCCTGCCACTAAGCTCTGGGGCAAGGGCTTAGCAGCTCAGAGTTGGGCCCTGTTTGCATTGTGTACAATAACCTGCTTTTCTGGAATAGGTTTCAGTTCTTGGCCAGGACTGAAAGGGACTACTGGTGGGGAGTGGGAGGTTCTATAAGCCAATGGGATCCCTTGTGAGAAAGAGATCTGAAGTGAGCCATTTTCTCACTCCCAGGCCTGGGTTGCGGCCATGGTGCGGAAGGACAGCTGGGTGGGCCTGAACGATGTGGATGGAGATGGCACCTGGACCTGGGCTGCAGGGGAGGACGCCCGTCCCCCTTTTCCTTGGTGAGTGCTTGGCGACCAGGCCAAATCCCTTTGCTTTCTGCTTCCACAGAAGGGACACCCTTGTCCTCCCTTGTTAATTGGCAATGCAGTTCCTAGATCACAGAGGAAGGGGAGGATTCTCAGGGCAAGAGCACAGTCTTGAAATGCGTGTGTGTATTTCTCATGTATTTCAAGAGACCAAATTGCCAATAAAAGGTAATATGAAAGGTAAAATTATATTACAATATAATGGTATAGTAAATGGTAAAGGTTTTCCCCTGACATTAAGTCCAGTCGTGTCCTACTCTGGGAGTTGGTGCTCATCTCCGTTTCTAAGCCGAAGAGCCGACGTTGTCCTTAGACACCTCCATGCTCATGTGGCTAGCATGACTGCATGGAGCACTGTTACCTTCCCGCTGGAGTGCTACCTACTGATCTACTCACATTGGCATGTTTTTGAACTGCTAGGCTGGCAGAAGCTGGGGCTAACAGCGGGAGCTCATGCTGCTCCCCGGATTTGAACCTCCGACCTTTCAGTCAACAAGTTTAGCAGCTCAGTGGTTTAACCCACTGCGCCACCAGGTGTATTTCTCATGTACTTCGAGGACCAAGTTGCCAATATCTGCTGGATAATGGAGGAAGGCAGGGAGTTTCAGAAAAACATCTATTTCTGTTTTATTGATTATTCTAACGCCTTTGACTGTGTGGATCATAATAAATTGTGGCAAGTTTCTGGTGGTCTGGGGCGACCAAGTCACCTTGTCTCTCTCCTGAGGAATCTATATAAAGACCAAATCGCAACAGTCAGAACAGATGATGGAACAACCGACTGGTTCAAGATTGGGAAAGGCGTATGGCAGGGTTGTTTACTCTCACCCAACCAATTCAACCAATGTATTCAGAACACATCATGGAATGTGCGGGGCGTGACAAATACAAGTCCGGGGTTAAAATTGCTGGAAGAAACATTAACAACCTTAGATATGCAGATGATACCACTTTGATGGCAGAAAGTGAGGAGGAGCTGAGGAGCCTTCTAACCAAGGTGAAAGAAGAAAGGGCAAAAGCTGGGTTGCAGTTAAACATCAGATTATGGCAACCAGAGTGATGGATAATTTATTTTATTTATTTACAGTATATATATTCCGCCCTTCTCACCCCGCAGGGGACTCAGGGCAGATTACAATGTACACATATATGGCAAACATTCAATATAGTACAATATAGGAATATTTAAAACTGATATTGTACTATGCTAATAATATATTGTATGTATATATACCTTGTAAGCCGTTCTGAGTCCCTTTCGGGGTGAGAAGAGCGGCATATAAATGTAGCAAATAAATAAATAAATAAATGACAAAGACACACAAAAGATATAGGCAGACAGACAGAGGCTATTTAACTTTTCTGGCCGCCAGGGGAGCTGTCGCTTTCATCGTCCATCTGCGATACTGATGAAGTACTTCCGCATTCCCCGCATGCTTTTGCTGGAGTGCTTTGCTGGCGTCTTTTTTATGGCCTTGTAAATTAATTAAATTAGCCTCCCCACACATAGGTGGTACCTAATTTTCCTGCTTGACAGATGCAACTGCAAAGGTCGACAACAAGCTACACAATTGGTCAGAAGCTCACTCTGACCCTGGCTGGCTTCAAACTCATGACCTTTTGGTCAGAAGTGATCTTAATGCAGCTGACAGACAGCTGCGCCACAGTCCCGGTGCCCGATAACTGGCAAATAGTGGGAGAAAACGTGGAGGCAGAGACAGACTTCGTATTTCTAGGCGCGAAGATGACTGTAGACACAGACTGCAGCTAGGAAATCAGAAGACGTTTCCTTCTTGGGAAGAGAACAATGACCAATCTCGATAAAATAGTGAAGAGTACAGACATCACACTGGCAATAAGTTTTGCATAGTTAAAGCAATGGTATTCCTCGTAGGAACCTATGAATGTAAGTGCTGGACCATAAGGAAGGCTGAGTGAAGGAAGATAGAAGCTTTTGTTCTGTGGCGCTGGAGGAAAACGCTGAGAGTGCCTTGGACCGCAAGAAGATCCAACCAGGCCATACTCCAGGAAATCGTGCTCACTGGGGGGAAGGATGGATATTAGAGGCAAAGATGAAGTCCTTTGGCCGCATAAGGAGAAGACAAAAAAGCTTGGAAAAGACAATGATGCTGGGGAAAATGGAAGGAAAAAGGAAGAGGGCGAGCAAGGGGAAGAAGGATGGATGTGATATCGAGATGCTTTTAGGAGGATCTCCCCAGCCGAGGAGATCCTGAGGACCGCACCAAAGAGAGTCCTTGAACCTTGGTGAGGCCAGAGAAGCCAATTTCAGCAGCAAAAAATATTTAAAATAATAAATCCTCACCAAAGCGGAAGAAGCTGGGACCGAGGTGTCTTTATTAGTGATTCAGCTGAGATCGGATGCATTGCAGGAATAGTTCCACTACAAGTATACCGCTAAAGAATTTACAAGCAGTTTTATAGAGAAAACACAGCAAAACCTTTTGAATTTCCCGCCCTCCCCTCTCCGCCCGGCTTAACACTGATTGGTTGGCAGCCCGAACAGCTGGGAGGAGGCTTGGCGGCCCGCCTTGCTCTGGGCCAATTAGCAAGCTTCTCCGCCTTTGGAGGGCCAATCGGCGCGCTTCTCTCGCTTCCGAGGATGGACGAATCAGAAGAGAGGAGGCGGGACGACCGCGGACAATGGGGGAAATGATGGGATTACTGATAGCCGGCCAGCTGGTATGTTCTTGGCCGGCTAGGTGTGATCTCCACAAGAAAGGTTTTCCTGTCCTTGATGGGTTTTGGTGGAGAAAACAAACAGGATCGGGGCAGGGGACCCCTGGGGTCGTACCTGCCCTCTGTAAATCAATCAGAGTGTCCAAATAGACTTCCTCACCCCACCAGACAGACTCAGAGAGCGGGAAAGGAAATCTCAAATATGCTGTTGTCCATGCTGATGTGAGATAATCAAAATGAGTTTCGAGGGAGGCAGGGGTCCTCCCTCGGACTTTGCAACAGTCCTTGGTCACTTTTTTTAGGGCAAAAGTCAAGGAGTAAGACAGGAGGACAAGCAATGTTTCATAGCAAGATACATACATTCAAATCATAAGCATTTCATAGCAACAAAACCCCATCTTTGTCCCACATCCCAAGTATATTTAATAAGAGGATTAATTTTCATGAAGAAGCCTAAAGTCCAATGTTTTAAAAGGTCTTTGAGGAAAGTTCATGAGGGAGATAGTATGTACTGAAGTCCAAGACATGCAGGCAGAGAGTCCATGATCATTGGGAAGGCTGGCAGATGAAACCCCAGCTGTGCGGCAACTGATTCACACTTTGGTCCTTGGGAAACTACAACTCTCATGGAGGGCAGAAGTCCCAAGATCCAGCCGTTTCCCAAAAGCCTTGTGGGGTCCTTGTTGTTGTCAGTGCTTTGGCAATGTGACCAAGACTTGACCCTTGTTGTGTAGTCTGGTGCCCTTGCCCTTTGCAGAACTATAAGTCACTATCCCTTATTTGGGGGGGGGGGGTGCTCGACATCAGATGGTATCTTGGAAGTGACTGGCTTGACCTTGAAGGAGCTGGGGGTGGCCATGGCCCACAGCGAGCTCTGGCCTAGGCTGGTCCATGAGGTCACGAAGTGGTGGAAGAGACTGAAGGAATAAACAACAACAACAACAACAAAGATGCAACCTCAGGAAATAACGCTCACGGGAGGGAAGGATGGATATTAGAGGCAAAGATGAAGTCCTTTGGCTACATAATGAGAAGACAGGGAAGTTTGGAGAAGAGAATGATGCTGTGGAAAATGGACGGAAAAAGGAAGAGGGGCCGACCAAGGAAAAGAAGGATGGATGGTATCCTTGAAGTGACTGGCTTGAGCTTGAAGGAGCTGGGGGTGGCCACGGCCCGCAGGGAGTTCTGGTGTGGGCTGGTCCATGAGGCCACGAAGAGGTGGAAGCGACTGAACGAATAAACAACAACAACAAAGATGGAACCTCAGGAAATAATGGTTCGTATCCTTGAAGTGACTGGCTTGACCATGAAGGAGCTGGGGGTGGCCACGGCCCACAGGGAGCTCTGGCGTGGGCTGGTCCAGGAGGTCACCAAGAGTCGGAAACAACTGAATAAATCATCTACAACAAAATTTCTCATGTGCTAAATATTTTTTATTTGAATGGCCCTCTTCTTCCTCTGTCATGTTTAATGACCCTTGCATCTTCACCAGTGTAACATCCCTAGGACCCTTCCTTATGACATTGCTTCAGATCCTCCCTTCATCTCAGAATTATCAGGGACTGGAATTCATGCCTTGCCTGGGAATTGCATTCTTACTCTTTGGGTGTCTGTCCAGGACCTTTTTTGAGACTTATTTGTCCTGCTGCCACCGTCACGAGTGACACATCTTTTCTCCCTCTGCAAGGATGGCTGGGGTACGACTTACGGCAGGCAATTGCCTGGAGATGAAGCACCGAGCAAAGCAGGCCCTGGCTGCCTCCCCCTGCTCTGGACACAAAGCGTGGGTCTGCAAAGGGCCTTTGGGTAAGTGCTTTGGAGGGGCTGCTGTCTGGAAAGCAATTTGCGGCTTCCTTGTTGAGCCCTGACAGCACCAGTTGCTCTTTGGGGCTTTATTTATTTCGTATCAAGATCATTGCATAAATTAGTTTAAAACTGATAAAAGTAGAAGGCGGCTAAATATCTTTTGACCAAAAATGGGAAACAGCAACAGCATTGGCTGATAGGCAGCAACACCCTTCTTTAGACTGTGTTATTAGGAAAGGCCCTAGATTGGAGAAAGTGGCACAAGTGCAACATCAAGACTGTCCCTCAGGATACCAGTGTGCCTTCTGGCTATCAGCCTTTGCCTCCGCTGAGCCTAGACCCATCAGCTGGCCTCTGGGTACCATGGGGAACACCTGCCAGATGCAACTCAGCCCAGAAATGTCCCCTTCTGCCTCAGTCCCGCAGAGTTCCTGCCCATCAGAACCTGGCTGGAGGCCATGGAATGGCAGCTGCTACTTCTGGGACCCGCTTTCGGTTGGAGGGTGGCACGAGGCTTTGGCTTCCTGCCGGCGATTCAGGAACACAGAGCTGCTGTACTTGACCTCGCTCCGGGAGAGGGTAACCACTTTGGATATGGAAGGTGGGAACATGAAAGCCCCTGGGAACCTCCAGCAAGGGTTCGATGCCTAGCCTCCTTCCACCTGTCTCTTCCTCCCAGGACTGGGTCCACTCAAACTTCCAAGGCTCCTTCTGGACAGGCTTGAATGATCTGCAGGAGGAATCTGTCTTTCGCTGGACAACTCAAGAGCCCCTCAGCAGAGCTGTAGCACAGTGAGTCCGGCATGGCTTGCAGGACACCTACAGCTGCCCCTCTACTCCCAGCTCTTTTTGATGCACCTTCGAAAAAGGACAAATCCATGCATGTCACATATTGTCAGGCCTGGTGGGTGGGTGGGCCTTTGGGGGACATAATAAGCAGGCCCTATATTTGGCACATTCTCTTCTCAATGTGTGTATTGCAGGTATTTGCAGGATGACATGGCGGATGGTGGCTTGAAGGACTGTGTGTGGTTTGACATGGTGACCGGACTTCTCCGTGACACCAGCTGCGAGGAGGAAAGGCCCTTCCTGTGCAAAAGCAGTGAAGGTGAGATTGTCGGGGGTGGGGAGTGGGGGCTCGGTGCTTCAGAAGAAAGGGCTGCAAAGAGCAGAGACCAGGCTCAGGGGCCTGTGGGGCTTCAGAAGATCAGCATCCCTTCTTCAGAGGCCTCTGCAGTCACATAAAAACAATGAAATGCACACTAAGAAAGCTTGCGCCTGGAAAGATCTGCTTGGTTTTTAAAATTTGTGTCTTCCCCTGAGCATCTTGAAGGGTCTTGAGATAGGCTCACACATGCCCCCCTCCCCCATTTTGTAAAACATCAAATCATCCTGGCATCCCCTGGGCAACGTCCTTGCAGACGGCCAATTCTCTCACAACAGAAGCGACTTGAGCTCCTGACACGACCAAAAAAAAAAAAAGGATGGCTCAGGATTGCAGAGTCAGAACTTTAGGTTCAAAAATATTTATTGGGAAAAAAAAGAAATACATTCTAGATAGAAAAGGTCTTGTAGCTCACTAGCTTACTAAATCTCATCTTCTAAAGAAACAAAAGAGTAAAAAGTTAAAATATCCATGCAGCTACATTTTGCCTAAAGAGAGAGGCAAAATGCGTCCTCGCTGGAAGGAAGAAAAGGCAGAAGAGGCAATGGTGGTGAATGGCCACATGTCCAAGCGCAAGGCAATAAAAATACCTTTAAATGGAAGTTCCCTCACAGAGATTCCATTGCTACATCTTCAAAGGGGAGGAGACAGTGGCAAGGAGGAAGAGTCAAAACAAAGCCCTTTTGGGAAACATGCATAGGATAATTCTATCTCTAGTCTAGCTACTCACTTTGGACTGGAGACTTGATGACATAAGAGACTTGTGCAGTCCAGGCATGAAACCCAACAGAATGGTTGTTCCGCAGTGCCAGAGGCCCCCTGACCTTGAACTGCTTTCTCTCTCCTTAGCCACCGACTGGTTTGAGGAACGCCCCGGCCTCAGTGTGACAGAGGGGGACCCTGCACTCCTCTTGCCCTCCTCTGGGAGCCTGATGCAGGCCAAGCAGGAGTGCCTATGGGAGCGCAGTGTGTGCATCGCAGTCCTCCAGGCCGTCTCTGGCTTCTTCTTGGTCAGCTCCATGGACAGGGTCATCTCCAAGCCAGACTCGATGCTCTACATCTGGACCAGTACGTGGGTCTTTATGGGGAATGGGCAGGAGGCAAGCCCGATGCTGGCACTGGTGTTTGCCTTGGCTATGGCAACCATTCAGCATATTCCAGAAATGAGACCGGAGTGGGGAGAGGTCCTCTTACCTCTCTCACCTGGGCTATGACATATCCATGACTTTTGCCTCCTTCAGTTTGTGCAGAAGGATTCCATGGCCCAGATTGCCGCAGGACCTTGGAGCGCCCACCTCGCCCAGCCTGTGACTGCAGTGGTAGATTCCAGACGACAGTGGAAAGAGGTGAGGAGCGGGCAGGGAGAGCATAGCTCAGTTGCCTGGCTGGGAGATCAGGCAACTGACTCTTGTGGCCTGGGCTTTGCAAATGGAGTGTTGGTGGTCAGAGCCTAGAATTGGCCTGGCTCTTCCTTCTGTCTCCCTTCCTGGCATTGCTCCCTCAGGCCCTTGCGTTTGGCTATTTATTTATCATATCAGGAGTGAATCAATATAATTGAGAAAACACAAAGTTTAAAAACTTGGTCCTTGGACCAGTAGCTGGCCTCCGGTGTTGCTATAGAAGGTCCTCCATTGTGCATGTGGCAGGGCTCAGGTTGCATTGTAGTAGGTGGTCTATGGTTTGCTCTTCTCCACACTCGCATGTCGTGGATTCCACTTTGTGGCCCCATTTCTTAAAGTTGGCTCTGCACCTCATGGTGCCAGAGCGCAGCCTGTTCAGCGCCTTCCAAGTCACCCAGGGGGGAGTCTCTCATTCGGTATCAGCCATGGATTGAGGTGCTGGGTTTGAGCCTGCCACTTTTGGACACTCGCTTGCTGAGGTGTTCCCGCGAGTATCTCTGTAGATCTTAGAAAGCTATTTCTTGATTTAAGGTAGCGTTTCTCAACCTCTGGGTCGGGACCCGGGGGGGGGGGTCACGAGGGGGGTGCCAGAGGGGTTGCCAAAGACCATCAGAAAACACAGTATTTTCTGTTGGCCATGGGCGTTCTGTGTGGGATGTTTGGCTCAATTCTATCATTAGCGGGGTTCAGAATGCTTTTTGGTTGCAGATGAACTATAAAGCCCAGCAAAGACAACTCCCAAATGTCAAGGTCTATTTTCCCCAAACTCCACCAGTGTTCACATTTGGGCAGATTGTGTATTGGTGCCAAATCTGGTCCAGAGCCATCATTGTTTGAGTCCACAGTGCTCTCTGGATGTAGGTGATCTACGACTCCAAAACTCAAGGTCAATGCCCACCAAATCCTTCCAGTATTTTCTTTTAGTCATGGGAGGTCGGTGTGCTAAGTTTGGTTCAATTCCATTGTTGGTGGAGTTCAGAATGCGCTTTGATTGTAGATTAAGTATAAATCCCAGCAACTACAACTCCCAAATGACAAAATCTATTCCCCTCCCCAACCCCACCAGTATTCAAATTTGGGTGTATCTGGTATTTGTGCCCAATTTGGTCCAGTGAATGAAAATACATCCTGCATATCCAATATTTACATTAAAATTCATAACAGCAGCAAAATTACAGTTATGAAGTATTAACAAAAATAATGTTATGGTTGGGGGTCACCACAACACGAAGAACTGTATTAAGGGGTCACTAAGGGGGCATTAGGAAGGTTGAGAAACACTGATTGAAGGCATTGGCGTGCTGGCTGATATCCAAACGGGATGGACCGGGGATGTCACTGCATTGTCTGTGCTGGGGATTTCACTCAAGCCCCAGCTTGCTTTGAGGGAGAAACAAAGTAGGTGCGCCTGAACTGGCAAACATAAGGGAGCAAAAGGAATAGGAACTGGCAAGGCTTCTGCGGTGGAAACCAATAACCGCACCATTTCTCTTGCTGCAGTCTGCGGCGTCCTGGTGCAGACGTGTGTAGATGACTGTCGGCGCAGGACTGCCTGGAGTAACTGCTCAGTGTGTTTGCCGGCCTGCACTGGTACGTTGAGAAGGAGGGCAGGAGGGAGGGAGGGTTACTGCCGGTTTGCCAGCCTTCCTGGCAGGGCAGACCGGCATCATCAAGTGTAATAACAGTAAATGGCCAGCATCTCTTTAACAGTTGTTTATTAAACAACGCTGTGGGTCCAAGAAGGCTCTCCCAGGACCTTCAGACCTGCTGAATGGGTCTGTGGGCCTCCCTCTCTGCCTGTTAGTCTGTCTCCTTCTGCACCCAGAGGCCACCCTGAGCCACCTGGATCCCGAGGAGGTCGCCCTCATCACAATGATTGAGTTCAAGGTGTCCCACTCTCAAAACCTCACGGCAGAAGATGAAAGGGATCGGAAAAACTCCTCCAAGATCATCTATGATGCCAAATACCCATGATGTTGCCACTTCCCGGGCAAAGGACTGAAGACGGAATGACAATAAAAGCTTGTGGAGAAATTTGTGTTCTCATTGCAGTTGGATTTCTCTATTGTGGTCCCTGTGAAATATGCACATATATTGTCGAAGGCTTTCATGGCCGGAATCACTGGGTTGTTGTAGGTTTTTTCGGGCTATATGGCCATGTTCTAGAGGCATTCTCTCCTGACGTTTCACCTGCATCTATGGCAAGCATCCTCGGAGGTAGTGAGGTCATCCTCAGAGGTAGTGACCTCACTACCTCTGAGAATGCTTGCCATAGATGCAGGCGAAATGTCAGGAGAGTATGCCTCTAGAACATGGCCATATAGTCCGAAAAAACATACAACAACCCTATGCACATATAGTTTCCTGTGTTGACGGAGTCCTCCTGCTTGCCCATTTCCCACAGGGCCCTCCCTGTGGGCAAAGGCAGGTCTGAAAAGCATGGCTGCTCATTCAGTTCAAATGGAGCTCTTCTTCTTCGGGGCCCAGACATCTTCCACAGGAAGTCTGAGGTAGGTTTTTGGCTGATTAGTTTTCCCAGTCATGGCTCTTACACCTTCAGGCAAGTAGCCACTGCTGTTTCCTGTGGCAAGGAGTCCCAGGGTGCACTTACTTGCATGCCAGCTGACCTTGTAGGCCTGTGCTAAATGCCACCCGAAAGAGAAGGATGCAAAGAAGGAGGAAACAAGACGAGGCTGGCTGGCCAGGGGCAATATTGCCAGGTGAGCCCAGAGGCTGCTTATACCCAGGCTGCCTGGCACAGCCGGTTTTCTGGGAGAAGACAGAGCCAGCCATGAGGAAGTTGTGGCTTTGCCCCTTGGCAGGCGAGCTGTTCTGTGAAAATATTTGCTAAGGAAGAGCAAAAACCCCACCCAGAAAGAAGGGCAGAAAGGAAGAGCAGCTGCTTTCAAAAGAGTTGCACAGGGGTGCAGGCAAAGCCTCTCCTGCAGGATCCAGGCGGCTGGAAAGGCAGAGACGGCTGTGCTGGATGGAAGAGTAGGAAGGCATTGGAAACAGCGTGGTGTTCTGGTCCAGGTTTGGACGGGATCCTGAGGAAACTTTTCCTCCTCTGCTTTCTCCAGAGGCCTTTCTGTGTACCTTCATGGCTGGGCACCCTAGGACTCCTGCCCTGGCCATTTTCATGGTTGCCTTCCTCTTGCCCTGCTCAGTCTCTGGCTGCCCAGAGGTCTGCACTTGCTTTGACGGGGAGGTCAACTGCATGGAACACCGGCTGCGCTTTGTGCCGGACAACCTGCCACCCAATGCCACCACCATTCTGCTGGACTACAACCGTATTAGCGCCCTTCGGAACCGGACCTTCGTGGCCCAGAATGCCTTGCACCGCCTAAGCCTCCGCAGCAACCAGTTGGTGAGCATCCATCGCCAAGCCCTGGCCGGTCTAAGCCAGCTGCAGGAACTGGACTTGAGTGGGAACTACCTGAGCCTTCTGTTGCCGGAGACTTTCCTGCCGGTGCCCAGCCTGAGGACGCTCGACCTGGGCAACAACCGGCTTCTGAGGCTGGAGGCAGAGCTGGTGGGTGCCGTGCCTCGGCTCCAGAGCCTCTCACTGCAGGGGAATGCTTTGACCTCCATCGAGCCGAGCTTCTTTGAGAACCTGCCCCTTCTCTACTCCCTGAAACTCGGCGAAAACCCCTGGGCCTGCTCCTGTGCCATCCAGCCCCTCTTCCAGTGGCTCACGGACAACACCGACAAGGTCCCAGGTGAGTAGGGAGGGCAGGGGCAGGGCTGGGATCTGGTCATACTGGGAAGGGTAGGTGACCAAAGTGTCCTGAGTGGATAAGAACAAAGAGGTGGGTTTTGAGAAGAGCAGGTCCAGGTGGGGAAAGGAAAGAACAGGAATAACAACAACATCCAAAGACCCCTGTGTTTTCAGAGTTTGTAACTGCGAGGAAAGGCATTCATGTGGCATTCATGTCCCTTCTTGTTGCTGTTTTTCCAGTAATGCTACTGAAATTGGAGATGCCAAGTAAACATGTAATGGGAGAAGAGCTGAGGGTGTGCACCGTGGGCTTTCATGCTGGTGCCTTTTGGAGCCATCATCTCTTTGCTCTTTCTGGCATGAAAACCCAGGAAAACAGCGTTGCCCAGAAGGCAGGCATCTTGCAGGCCTTGAAGTGGTCCTGGGAAGGGCAGAGCAAAACCTCCATGTTGGGGGTGGCCTACAGCAGCTGAGGGGCAGCAGCAAAGGCCAGCCGTGGGTGGGGACTTTTGGGCGAGTGGGCTTATTAACGAAAGACCCTCCTCATAAATGTACAGCAGAGTAACATTAGCAGCAGCATGACCCAGCACCAGTTGCCAAAGGTGATAAAAAGAACACACAGACCAATGTTATCTCTTCCATAGGAGGAAGAGATAACATTGATCTTCTTTGTAGTAAAATAATATGGTTGCACTATTTACAACAACAAGGTTTCCATAACACAAATAAAGTTCTCATGCTTCCTTCTTTGCTTCTACACTGGGCTTCTTTCTTTGAACAGAAAACCAGCTTCACTCTCACAGAGATTCTTCTCACACCAAACTTATACAGGAGCTCCACAAAGTAGCTTTACACACAGCAGCCTTCACACTGAAGCTTCACACACAATGGCCTTCAATCTGGGGCTTCCTCATAATGAGGCGTTCTCTCACACCAGGCCTACTCACACCTAGACCTAATAACACTGAGGCCTACCTCACATTGAGGCATTTCTCCCACTGAGGCCTTCTCACACTGAGGGCTCTTTCACACTGAGGTGAACTAACACCTAACTAAGGTTTCCATAACACAAATAAAATTCTCATGCTTCCTTCTTTGCTTCCACACTGGGCTTCTTTCTTTGAACAGAAAAACAGCTTCGCTCTCACAGAGCCTTTTCTCACACTGAACTTATACAGGAGCTTCACAAAGTAGCTTTACACAGCAGCCTTCACACTGAAGCTTCACACACAATGGCCTTCAACCTGGGGCTTCCTCATAATGAAGCGTTCTCTCACACCAGGCCTACTCACACTGAGACCTAATAACACTGAGGTCTACCTCACACTGAGGCATTTCTCCCACTGAGGCCTTCTCACACTGAAGGCTCTTTCACACTGAGGTGAACTAACACTGAGGCCTACTAACACACTGAGGCCCTTCTCTCACAGAGATCTGGCGCAGACTGAGGGGTATCTCAGAATGAGGCCTATCACACTGAGGCTTCTCTCACTGAGGTCTGTTAACACCGAGGGCTCCCTCAGACTGGGGTCTACTAAACTACAGGAACACCTCCTTCTATTGAACTGCAGCTTTTGCTGGGTCATTGTATTCATTTAAACTTTTCAGTGCTTGACTCACATTTTTGTAATTAAAAATACCTAGTTAATATTTAATATTTCTGACAGGGGCCATCTTGGAAAAAGGAAGTGTTGAAGGGAAAGGCAGAATCCAGATGGCAGGAGTGTCTTCTGGAGAAGGCATTAGACCTCTTGGAGGAAATGCCAAGGGTGTGCTTTTCTGGCGCAGACATGCAGGGTGGAGGAGCCATAAACCTCTTTGGACAGGACTAAGTGGAATGGTGTAGAGTAGAAGCCATCCTGAACCAGTCTCATGGACCCTCCTTTGCCCTTGCTTCTTCCTTTGCAGAAGTGAATGCTGTCTCCTGCAAGCGCCCGACGTACCTTTCCCAAAGGCCCATCGTCGCCCTTGGGAATGTCTCCTTTGCCCGCTGCCAGGAGCCCTGGCTGAACTCCAAGGACTACGCCTTCTTCCTTCTCATCGGCCCCTCCACCTTCCTCACCAGCATCTGTGCCTGTGTCTTGGCTGGCTCACTGGCTGTCGCCCGCCGGAGGATGATGACAATGATGGCAGTGGCACACAGGAGGCCAGGAACCCTGGCCAGGCGGGCAGAGCACCACCGACACTGAGGCCGCTGCAGGAAGACCCTGCCTTTCTGTCCATCCTGGACGGTGGGCCAGGATGCCTCTTGGCTGTTGTTTTGCTGGAAGAGCCAATGGAAGAAGGACTCACAAAGAGGATCAGCTATTCAGTTTTCAGTTGTCCCCTGAGCAATAGAGGAGAAGATGGGTGGGTGGGCCAGCTTCTCCTCTATTCCTTGTTGCGGGTCACAAAAAGCTCTACGGGTCTTCCCTGCCACTTTCTCTTGCATCTTCTACTTTCTCAGAAAGGACAACAAGGCAGAAAGGTCTCTTTCTTAAAATGCCAAAATCTCTGTACATGTTAAGAGGCCATGTTGCGAGCTCAGGGTATGGAATTGCATTTGTGGTAAGTGGGCAGGTGGGAACTGGGGACGTTTGGTCCAGTCGCTGTCTGGTGTTTGGAAGAGCAAGGCCTGAACTCACAGGAAATCAGATGGGGAGATAAGTACAAGGGTTGAATAAAAAGTAATGCCTCCACCTTTTTAACTCCTCAACAGATGTAGTACTGGTATGCGGCAGGTCCTGGCTTGTTCAGTAGACTCTCCTCTACAGTTTCATTTTGGCGGGAAGCCTTAGCATTGAACGGTTGTGTTGTTAAAGTGCGAAGTATGGCACCCTGCACAGATGGTCTGTCAATGCGACTTAAGCAACGTGCAGTCACTGAATTCTTGACAGCAGAAGGTGTCACCCTAAAGGAGAGTCATCAGAGAATGCAAGCTGTTTATGATTATTGTGTTGATGTGAGTACTGTGTGTCATTGGGCGAGTTAGTTTAAAGATGTTGAGGTGGGAACATCTGACTTGCGTGACAAAGAGTTGGACGTCCTGTGACAGCAACCACCGAGTTTCACAAGCAAAAGGTTGACAGATTGATTCAGGACAATCGTCATATCACTCAAAGAGAAATTTCAAGCATAATTGACATTTCACAAGAACATGTGGGTCACATTATTGCTTTGCTTGGCTATCGGAAAATCTGTGCACAATGGGTACCCAGGATGCTGATGCCTGAAATGAAAGTGCACAGACTTGAAACTTCAGAGACTGGATCTCACCACCGTACGACATCCTCCATACAGTCCAGATTTAGCATCGTCTGACTTCCATCTGCCCCCGATAATGAAAGAAGATCTGCGGGGGCATCATTATGCTGAGAGAACTGTGAGACGCTGGTTGCGGAAACAGAGTGTCGACTTTTCCCATGACGGCTTCAGAAAACTTGTTCATTGTTGGCAGAAATGCATCCAATTGTCCGGTGATTATGTGGAAAAGTGAATAGTGGTAGTTAAAGAGCACATTTGAAAGATTATTTCTGCGTTTGAGTTATTAAAATATTCCCATCCAAACCCAAGTAACGAAGGTGGAGGCATTACTTTTCATTCAACCCTCGTAATCCAAAAGGGGAGTCGGTTGTATGTCCCATAGGTGTGTCTGTTGCGTTCCCCAGAAATGGGAAAATGGGCATCTAGTCTTGTCGGTTTTCTTTCTTTTCCCAAAGATGGTCCTACAGCTCTGCTTCTGGGTGTCTGCTATGTGCGTCGAAGCCACAGGTCCAGCCTTCCCCCGTCCTTTGTGGGAACAGGAGTGTTGCCAGTTTTGCCTCTCCCTCCGCCACCCCTCCCCTTATCATTGGCTCAGGAACAGACAGAGACGCACACTCCTGTTGGCATACGAAGTTCATTGAAGAATACCCGTCAGCTGTTACAAAAATTCACAGTACAGTTGTAAATAAATATGGTGATTATTCATCATGTACAGATGCGGATGCCCCGTTAAGATGCCACCCCGACCTACCCAACATCTATTTACAGGAGAGTCCAGGGCAACCCTGACTGCATGTTCCATGTTGCTCTTACTGGGGAGATGCACCTCTACCTGGGAGCAAGCCCTGCACATGATGCAAGGGACCTGCTCCGAGGCTGAGCTGCTGTTCTTATCACAGAATGGCCAGTTGTGTGTGTGTGAATGCCTCTTCATCCATGGTCGGCACTCTGGCACATGTACTCCAGACTAACGTTGGTCTGGGACACATTGCCAGAGGAAGAGGAGGAGGAGGAAGTGACACTTGGAAAAGCAAGAGGTCTGGTTGTGTGTTACTGTGGCTGTGCTGAGCTCCTTGCTTGCATTGAGGGGCTTCCTGGTTGGATTGTAGGGGCTTCCTGGCACAGCTGGCTTGGTTAAAGCTAGGTACCCCATCCAGGTTTCCTTTGCTGTTTTACACAGAAACATCACCAAAATCAAAACGTTGATCTAGCCCAGTGTTTCTCAACCGCCCATGGAGGCGGGGGTCACAAGGTAGGCGTCAATAGGGTTGCCAAAGACCACCAGAAAATACAGTATTTTCTGTTGATCATGGGGGTTCTGTGTGGGAAGTTTGCCCCAATTCCATCATTGGTGGAGTTCGGAATGCTCTTTGATTGTAGTGGAACTATAAATCCCAGCAACTTCAACTCCCAAATGTCAAGACCTATTTTCCTCAAACTCCACCAGTGTCCGCATTTGGGTATATTGTGTATTTGTGCCAAGTTTGGTCCACATCCATCATTGTTTAAGTCCACAGTGCTCTCTGGATGGAGGTGAACTATAACTCCCAAACTCAAGGTCAATGCCCACCAAATCTTTTAAGTATCTGTTGGTCTTGGGAGTTCTGTGTGCCAAGTTTGGTTCTGTTCCATCATTGGTGGAGTTCAGAATGCTCTTTCATTGTAGGTGAACTATAAATCCCAGCAATTACCACTCCCAAATGACAAAATCAACACCTGCCCCAACCCCATCAGTATTCAAATTTGGGTATATTGGGTATTTGTGCCAAATGTGGTCCAGTGAATGAAAATACATCTTGCATATCAGATACTGACATTACGATTCATTGTTGGTGGAGTTCAGAATGCTCTTTGATTGTGGGTGGACTATAAATTCCAGCAATTACCACTCCCAAATGACAAAATCAACACCTGCCCCAACCCCATCGGTATTCAAATTTGGGTATATTGGGTATTTGTGCCAAATGTGGTCCAGTGAAAGAAAATACATCCTGCATATCAGATATTTACATTGCATTTCATAACAGTAGCAAAATGACAGTTATGAAGTAGCAACGAAAATAATGGTTGGGAGTCACCACAACATGAGGAACTGTATTAAGGGGTCACAGCATTAGGGAGGTTGAGAAACACTGGTCTAGCCCATGGAAGCCAAATGTAGTTTTTGAATCCAGGCCTTGCAATCTGATCTCCTTGGGAAAGCCTTTGCATCTACAGCTGGGCAAACACCACCCTCATGCCTCTCCTCACAGATTCACAATTGCCAGAGAGACCAAACCAGGCCCAGAGTTTTCTTCTAGAGCCTGACTGTGCATCTCCCAGTACTCTGGGCACAAAGTCATGCTTCAGAATGGGTGGCAGCCCTTGCCCGTTCTCCACCGAAAGGTCAGCTACACAGATCCTGGCCTTTTGAGATTGAGGGGTCACTGCTCACTGGCAGACCCCGGAATGAAACCACATTAGTTGGTATTCGTGCCCACCACCTGCCATAGGCTGAGCACAGGGGCCTTGCTCTTTGCAAGGATGGTCAAGGCAGAGCCTCAGGGAGATGCTTCCAACCAGAGCTGGCAGCCATGGGTTGGTCAGAGAATAGGGTGGCCTGATATCTCTTTCTGTGGTAGCACAGAGAGGGCAGGAGAGTTTGCCCCAGACCTGGCCTTCTCCTTGCCACAAAGCCCCCTGCTGCACAACACAGGATGTGAGTGTGGACAAGAGATCAGGCTCGGCTGCATGCTCAGCCTCACATGATCCTGGAGCCGGAGACTTCTCAGGATGGAGTTTGAAACCATGTTTTGCTGGCCTGCTTTCAGTTGCATGCACTGCTTTGGCCTTGGCACCCATTCTGTAGGCTTTTCTAGGTCAGGTAGGAGCAGAGGGTCTGGGATCCAGGTGAGTTACTCCTGCAACCCACCAGGATCCCAGAACTAGAGTGGGACAAGGAGAGAATCAAGCCCCTTAATATGTACAACCATCATTAAGACAGTTGAAAACATTCAGAGTCGGGTGCTAGGAAATGTTTCCCTGCGCTGTCTGGAAAGGATGAAGGAGGAGGCCTTCCCCATTTGCCATCACTTTGGAGAAACCCTTCTTTACCAAGGCCACAAAGTCCCAAAAGTGGTCAGCAGGAAAGGAACGGTGCTGGCTCCTTGGTGAAAGAAGAACAGCTTCTTTTGGGAGGGATCTCCCCAGGAAGAGCCAGAGAACATGCATCGCCAAGGCACTCTCTCCGGATGAGATGAGCCTGAAGGGCTATGTACAAGATGGCCCACGAGAAGCCCCTCCATCTTCCTCTGTTGTGGTGTGAAGAGATTGGACGTGGTGGCCATGGAGTGGAAGAAGTCCTGCGCATGCGTGTCGGACGAAGAGGGTCTCTCCCACTGCCAGGGAAGCTCCATCCGCTTAGAGAACGCCCAGCCTCCCCTTTGTGGCTGTTGGGAGCCACAATCCCCGTCTCTGTTGGCATCACAAAGGAAGGTGACTGAAAAAGGAAGGGGGTCAAATGGGCCTCGTGTTTGTGTGGTTCATCCAAAGGGCCCAGGACAAAAAGAAGGCCAGGAGGGGAGGAAGCAATGCAGACGCTGCGGATGGCTGGCCAAGCCTGGGCTTTGGTGCCTCCGGACAGGACCCATCAGAGTCTCCATTGGTCTGTCCCCTTGGGGTCTTGGGCGTCACACCACGGTGCTGACCGAGGGGTCGGAGAGGTTGAGCTGCCCGGCGATGTCTGTGGGGTGATACTGCTGCAAGAGACAAAACAGACAGACAGAGAGAGCTGGGCGTTAGGCAGGGCTGAGACCCGGTTGAGACGCACGCCCCGGGGAGGCCGCTCAGGGATGATGCAAGGGCCGCCGGTCCAAAGAGGCACTCGGGGGTCCTGCCGTTGTCCCACCATCACCGCTGCGGCTGCAGAACGTGGCACCCGGCGTGGGCCGGGGATCTGGGCCAGCCCATGCAGAGGGCGGCTCGCCAAATGAGGGCCAAGCTGGAAAGACTCCCACTGCCTCGTGACTCCTGGAGTCTGTGGCACAAGCCCCCTCCTCCCGATCCTGGTCGCAACCCCAGCAGCCTTGAATTTGGCCCCAGTGGCACCCATGGTTCTGCTTGTTTGGGCCATGGGCAATTGAAAGGTGGAAATGCCAGAGACAAGCCTACAAGTGGGTCTCTGCTGTCCTTGCCGGAGAAGGGTTGGTGCCGCCTTGGAGGAAGCACCAATCAGTTTTTGTTGTATTATGGATGGGGAAAATACCCCAAACCCTTTCGTCTTTGCTGTCTATGCGCGTGTTGGCAAACACCTTTATGTGTTCATTTGAAGTCCCATTGACTTATTTCACCTTATTCCAAAGCTCTTACTCTCAAACAAAATGGCAGACAGCCTTCCCTCTGCCCCATGGCGATGGTGGGCTGCAAAAAATGCAAGTTGCTGGTGCCGTCCCGGAAGCCCCCAGGCTTAGATTTGTTTTGGCCTGAGATTCCAAGAGGGTTCTTGTCTCCATTTCCAAATTGTCTCTACAGGCCAGGATCTGTGTCACTGACCTTTTGGAGGGATTTGCTTCCCTGACCTCCCGCTTGACGCCTCGCCATGTGGCAGAATTGGGGCTGCTGCCGGTCCCATTGGAGGGCCCCGTTTTGTCCTTGGGCCGGCACCTTCCCGGTCTCCCTGCCGGGACAGCAGAGACATGCATCATCTCTCAGGGGCTCCCCAGAAGACAGGGAGGGGAAGAGGACAGCATCATCATCATCATCATCATCCGCTAGACCCTTTGCTTTCCCTTCCACACAAAGCCAGCCAGCGACCAAAGACAGTCCTGGAGGGGAGCGTAGAGGTGCACCTGCGAAGAGGCTGCCGAGGGGCTCCTTTGCCTAGAGGAATGCTCCTGGCCCATGCACCTGACCGCCAGCCCCATGGCCCCCTTCATCCGTCCAGCCGTCCGTCCGCCTGTCCCTCCCTGTCCCTTCTCCTCCTGCAGTCCCTGGCTCAGCCTCTGCGCTCCCTGGACCCCATTATCATCGTTGTCATGGTCATCATCGTCATCATCATCATCATCATACAGTAGGACTTTGGATACAGGACAAAAGTGCATGAACATTCAGGACAAGAGCCCCACCCTGTGCCGAGCAGCTCCTGAAGCCGGGGTTTCTCTACAGGGCTTATCTGCAGCTCACGGATTCTGGGCGTGGTGGTGGCATCGCGGGGCGGTCTGTAGGGAGCAGGCGCATCAGAGGGAGGGTCTATGACACAGGCATCCTCGGCCGCAGGTCCGGCGTCCCAGGCGGCACCCCCGGCCCTCCGTCCAGCCGCCCGCCTGCCCGCCCCAAGGGCCACAGAAGGGCAGCGGGCAGCTCCCACCCGCACCCCCACCCCACATGCACACGCATGCACACGCACACACACACATAGAGAGAGCCCCCCCTCCTCCCCAGACGCGGTGGGGACGGGAGACGACATGGCCCTGACTTTGGGGGTCAAGGGGCTATTCCTGGCCACAATGAGCCTCTCTGGGCCTGGGTCCTGTGGGGAGGGATTGGGCTATGTTTGCCTGCATGGGCCTTCCAACTCTGGGATTCTAGGATCTGAGGAGGCCTCTCTGGAGCTCATAGAAGCCTGGCACACATTCCAAAGCCAGCCATGAAAGGGCAACACCTCTCTCTTTCTCTCCTCTGATGTTAGAGACCACCTGGGAGTTTGGTCTCCCCTTTTCATTCTCTTAGGACAGCTAGGCCTTAACTTTCCTGAATGAAAATGTCATTCTTCCAATATTGTCCTGTTGTGTCTTTGAAAACTTGGCTCTGCTCTGGTCATTGGTGGAGCTCATTTGCTCTACTGCTGCACTCAGAAGCTTCTGCTCTGCTAAAACTGCTGCTGTTGCTGCTTAACCTTTTTTCTCCTGTTTGGAAATCCCCCAAAAGCTCCCTATTTCTTTGATCTGGGGTAAAAAAGCTACACGGCCAGTATTTGGCTAGTTTCCCAGGGAAGTGTCCAAAGTGTCCAAAAAGGACACGGGCATTAGTGAGAAAGCCTATACCAAAGATAATACATGGGAGATGGGACTCCCCCTTCATCCATCTACCCATCTCTGGCAGCCCAGAACTCAGTGGAAGTTTATCGACTGACACCTTTGTGGGGAAACTTACAATATCTGCATCACAGAATTAAACACCATTCTTCTCTTTGTGCTTTTTGAAAATGCTGGCAATTTGAACCCTAAGCTGCCCAGGTTTGGGAAATTTCTTTTGGGCCTTTTCTGTGCCAGGCAAAAATTGTATTCAAGTGGACAAGAAACCTGGCAAAGAGCTCCATTATCATTATTATTATCATTATTATTATTAGAGCTGATAACCTCCATGATGGTGAAACAGCCCTGCAAGAAGGCATTGGAAACACATTAGTATTACTAATAGTATTATTATTAGGGCTAAGCAAGGGACTTGCAAAATTGGAATTGCAAGCTAACCTGGCCAAGAGCTCCATTATTATTGTTGTTGTTGTTGTTATTATTATTATTATTATTATTATAGCTGATAACCTCCATGACAATGAAAGAGCTTTGCAAGAAGGCATTGGAAACACATTAATATTACTAATAGTATTATTATTATTAGAGCTAAGCAAGGGACTTGCAAGATAACCTGGCCAAGAGCTTCATTATTATTATTGTTATTATTATTATTGACAAAAAAACACAGTATGTCACAGCAAATGAGATCTATATGCTGGATTTTGAATCACAAAATCACAAGTTGAACCCTTCCCAAGCTCTAGGACTGTGTGATGTTTATTATTATTATTATTATTATTATTATTATTATTATTAGTTCAGCAAGGGAAGTGCAAGACTGGAATTGCAAGGTAACCTGGCCAAGAGTTCCAATATTTTATATTATATAATATATTATTATTATTATTGTTATTATTATTATTTGTTGTTGTTGTTGTACCCACCACGCGTTACTGTGGCCAACCTTCCCTCCCTCTTTCTCTCCTTCTTTCCCTCCTTCCTTCGCTTTCTCTTTTCTTCCTTCCTTCCCTTTTCTTCTTTCCTTCTCTCCTTCCTTCTCTATCTCCTCCCTCCCTCCCTTTTCCTTTTCCTTCCTCTTTCTCTCCTTCCTTCCTTCTTTCTCTCTTTCCTTCTCTCTCTCTCTCTCTCCCTTCCTTCCTTCCTTCCTTCCTTCCTTCCTTCCTTCCTTCCTTCTCCTTCCTTCCTTCCCTCTGTTTCTTTTCTTTCCTCTTTCCCTTCTTTCTTCCTTCTCTACCTGTTTCTTTCCTCCCTTCCTTTGCTCTTTGGTTCCATCCTACTTTCTTTCTTTCTTTCTCCCCTCCTTCCCTCCCTCTTCCTTCCCTTTTTTTCTGTATAGTGTAATTTAGCTTTTGGGGGTTTTTAAGCCCTTTCCGCTGTTTTTTTTTTTGTGGGGGGGGGGTTGTATGAGTGATGGTCACTTGGTCTGTTAGGGGTAAGTGTCCCAATTTCATGTTAATTCGTCCAGTGGTTTTTGAGTTATGTTAATCCCACAAATGAACATTACATTTTTATTTATATAAGATTATGATTATTATTATTAAAAGAGTTAAGCAAGGGGTGTGCAAGACTGGAATTCCAATATCATTGTTATTATTGTGTTGTCGAAGGCTTTCATGGCCGGAATCACTGGGTTGTTGTGAGTTTTCCGGGTTGTCTAGTCATGTTCCAGAAGCATTATCTCCTGACATTTCACCCACGTTTATGGTAGGCATCCTCTGAGGTTGAGAGGTCTGTTGGAAACTAGGCAAGTGGGATTTATATCTCTGTGGAATAATGTCCAGGGTGGGAGAAAGAACTCTTGTTGCCTCCCAACAAAGGATTCCCCCAGGCAGGAAGCAGCCAGGCTTTGAAAACGCAAGGCTATTCAATGCTAATGAAGCTGGCCGATTGCAACATTCACATGTACCTCTTTCTCCCACCCTGGATATCATTCCACAGATATATAAACCCTACTTGCCTTGTTTCCAACAGACCTCACAAGCTCTGAGGATGCCTGCCATAGATGTGGGCGAAACGTCAGGAGAGAATGCTTCTGGAACATGGCCAGATAGCCAGGAAAACTCACAGCAACCTATTATTATTATTATTAGAGCTGATGACCCCCATGATGGTGAAGGAGCCCTGCAAGAAAGTATTACTAATAGTATTATTATTAGAGCTAAGCAAGGAGTGTGGTGGAGGCTCCTTCTTTGGAAGCTTTTAAGCAGAGGCTGGATGGCCATCTGTCAGGGGTGATTTGAATGCAACATTCCTGCTTCTTGGCAGGGGGTTGGACTGGATGGCCCATCGGGTCTCTTCCAACTCTTTGATTCTATGATTCAAGGGACTTGCAAGATTGGAATTGCAAGATGACCTGGCCAAGAGCTCCATTATTATTATTATTATTATTATTATTATTATTATTATTATTATTATTATTATTATTATTAGAGTTCAGGAAGGGAAGTGCAAGGCTGGAATTGCAAGATAACCTGACTTTTACACAGCCTTCCCCCACGTTTACCTCTCTTTTATTGGTTTTAATAGCTTATTCTAGTATTTCCAATACTTTAGTTCCAATGTGTGAGTGACAGATGATGTGTCCAATGGGACATCGCTGAAGGTCTGATAGACAGGCGGTGTGTCCATTGGGAAGAGCTGATATTGAGGGAAGCCGGGGAGAAATGTGCCTCCTTTGTGGACTACCACTCCCAGGATGCACTTGGCCGAGCACTCGGCGGACG